TATGTTTTGGACTCGGTCCTGTCCCAAAAGCTGCCCTCACAAAACAAGTGATGATGCACAATATTTCTAAAATGTATTGCCACTGCATTATCAGTGCACGTAATAAGAATATTTCAAAGACGTGAAATGAAACAGAGACACAAACTGCACAACAAGAATATATGTGACAATAAAACAGACCTCCTTCTGCCCTAAATAAACAGCTGATTTGAAAGATGGTGGATGAAATCCTAACGCACACGGAGTCACGAAAAAGCTGTAATGATAGAAGAAAAGCAAAAACAATGTGGCTTTATAGCAACAATAATACAGTAAGTAAATAAATTATGAATATTTTGCAGCCCTAGCATAAAAGTACAACTCATTTAAACAATGTTTAACTTTTTGACTGAAGTGGGGATGAATCACTTATTTAAGATGACTCAGTCTGCATTTGGGACTTTCTCCCAGAAAGAAAGAGTGTTTACTCTAGATGAAGTATGAAATCCAGATGTGTTCAGGCTGGGACTAAAACATCTGTGGTGTGGACGTTGTCATGATGATGCTCTGATTACAGGGAGCACACCAAAAACTGGAGCCGACGTCTCATTAGTCAAAAAAAAACAACCTTTGCTCGGTTATGACACTACCCACAGGAGATCCTCCTAAACCCACAGAAGAGTGGGAAGCCACCCCCCACCACACACACACACACACACCATAGGGTCAGGACAGAAAGCACCATCGCATGACGTCGTCCTCACACACATAAACGGAGCCAGCTGAAAGCGGCCTCGGGGGGATGAGCTCAGCGACTCAGAGAGTGCACGGGATTTCCCCACAGGGACGATCTGCAGACCTGCGCCACAGCAAGTGGTTGCAAGTGACCCGATGCAGCAGACGCCAACATCAAATGGATGCATCACGATCCATGTTAATCCGGCTCACCGAGGACACGGGAGCAAGCACAAAAACCCCAAAGCTAATCCACATGAGTTTCAATCAACCGGTGGTGACCTGGTCAAATTTAGCACATGCTCATGGAAAACGGTTATAAATGTAGAGGACGAGCCACAAAGGAGTGTGAGCAGGCAGCTGGAGTCCCATCAGAGCCCACAGTGGCAGGTTTATTCCAGACGGGCCCAGTGCAGTGCGCTGAATGGCACAAAGGGGAGCGATAAACGTCAGGCCCAGCATCGCTGCTGTGGTAATGGCTGACAAAGAGCTGAGAGGCTCATCGCACAGTCAGTCAAACAGACACAAGTGGGGCTCCGCATTCTGCTCGGGTGGAGGAGAGGACACGGACAGAAAGAGGACAAACTTCGTCCTTACAACTCCTGCTTTCTACAACCTGAGAGACAGGAGCGAAGTCACTGTTTTACCCAGTCAGTGGTTAGGAAACAGTTTTATTGTCGTCAAACGCAAACATGCAATTACCGTATGTTTTGGCATGGTGTGTGTGTGTGCATGTGTGTGTGTGTCTACAAGTCGGTCAGGTTTACAGATTCTGAGCTGTAAATTGGTTTGTTTGTAGCCAACAGTCTTCCCCTACTTATACTCAAGATGCACCTGCTTGGGAAAAATCTGTTCTTAAAAGTTTGCCTTTAACTATTGGGGGTCACCTCGGTCTGTTAGTGTCTCATCAACCACAAGATGCATTTCAAGTAAACCCACCAATGTTGAGTCAGGTCATCTGAACGGTTTACTTTTTTGCTGAGACGTTTCGTCCTTCATCCAAAGGACTTCCTCAATCCGAGACGCCACCAAACAAAACTGATTCCCACAAACAGCATACTCCATAGTGGGGGAAAAAAAAAAAAAAACAGTTTGCCGGTGCTAAGATGGCCTCTGGAGTCCGCCCTCTCCTCCGGGGCCGGTTATGTTTGGTGGGTTGTCGGATTGAGTAGGTCCTTTAGATGAAGGACGAAACGTCTCGGCAAAAAACAAGAAACTTTCAAATAGTAATTATTGATTGTACATCTACAACTAATTACCTGCTGGAGTCAGATCAATTCAAGATGCTGCCACAGCTAATCAACAATGGCCAACACAAAAACAGCTATACCTCAGTTTTACAGATGTTTTGCTAACATTGGATGTAGTAGTAGCTGAGCGTTGGTCACAACACATAGTCCGAGTGTCACTTTTTTTAGTCTTTTATAGCCAGGGTTAATTACACAACAACCATTTAACAAAGGCACAAAGTACAGAGCAACGTCGGCTCACTTAGTGTTTAATAGAATTTAATGTTTTTGTGGGTTTATCTTCCACCTACGAGGCAGTTATCAACCTGACAGTCCAAAGACCTTTCAGCATTAGAGACATCTTTTTGTTCTTTCTGTCCTCTGGTGGAATAAAGCACATTCAAATGAACCACCGCAAATTAATGAAAGGTGACGAAATTAATGAAAGGTGACGCAGCGCCGATCCATGCTCTGCTCGGTGAGGTCACCTTCCACGAAGCCCACGTGTCTCGCTCTGAACATGCGACGCTCTGATGTTACATAACAAGAAACACAGCAAGAACCCAGGCGTGAAACAAAAGGTGTCCGTTTTGTTTCATTTTGTGCGTTTGACCTCACTAACTAAACTTAATTTTAATTGATCTGAAACGTGGTCTCTCCACTCAACAGACACTTCTAATGGCAAAGTTTCAACTATTATCTGCTGAATGAACAGATCCCAAGAAATGTATGCAAATAATATGTAAAACTATAAGTTCCTGGAGAAACTTTGACAGGGAAGGCCTATTTATTATTAAATTATTAATAATAAACATTAGCATTAATGATTATTAATAATCAATACTAATTATTAATTGTTATTAACAATCATTGATATATTGTTAATTTATTAATTATTAATATTATTAATTATTAACGTTAAGATGGATAATTATTAACATTAGTAATTAATAATAAATGTTAATAATTATTATTATTACTAATTAAAAACAATAATAGGTGATAATAGGCTCCTTCCATGCATTGCATAATGCACTGCCTTCCTTACACGTTGAACCAAAATGGCTCCATACGTTACTACTTACTACTTACTTAATCAGGTCTCTCTTGTAAATGAGTCCTCGAGGCTCAATGGGATTTACCTGTATAAATAAAGGTTGATTGATTGATTACTCAATTTCTGTCAAGAGTTTTCTCCTATTCATTTCCTATGGGAAATTTGGCATCTTTGTTAGCAAAATATGTGGCCATGTTAACTGCGAATGCCAATAAAAGTAACTGCACACTTCCCAGAGCCGGGCCGGTCGTTTTGATACAACTTTTTGTGGGAGTACACGTTGCAGTTCAGGCCGCATTAAAGTTGAAAAAGATACGCTTATCAGGTGTAGAATAATAAGTGGGCTGTCACCAACTAGTTCCTGGTAGGGGTTGAACGACTACATAATTTTTAAACTCGACAATAACGTAATAAAACTCGAGTAGAACTCGAGTAGTTGATGACGTCATAGGATCTCAACATGCAAAAATAAATAAATTAATTAATTAAACTGCAAAAAAAAGGCATTATTTACAAAGAAAAGCCCAACAAAACATTGGGAGCATATATTATGCTCCTACTATTTATCATACTGCAAATAAGTCACAGGAAAACCAAAACTATTAGTTATTATTTTTAAGCTGCAAAACTGAAAGAAACGTGCAGCATGTAAAAAACGAAACTAAAAACAGTGGGGCAGTTGATCACCCCGCACCACCGCCCGCAGTGTTGCGTATTAGGTTTAGTTTTAGAGATTAATGTGTTTATAGGTTTTTTAATAGGTTTAGAGATTAATAATTTTTGCTTTTTGTTTGTGAAACAAGGTCAGAGGAAGCTGGTTCTGGTTCGATCTATTGGACCCGGTGTTACACCATATTCTGTGACCTGCAACAGTGCATGCAACACCGCCCCCTACAGTCACAATATACGGTGGTCACAGAATATGGTGTAACACCGGTTTGCAACGAGCTCCAAGCAGTCAGGAAGTTGATTCATTTTCTGTTTCCTTACAGTAGATGAACCGGAAGATTCATCTTTAGTGAAATATTTCCATTCTACTGATGCATTTCTACCTGTTTTCCAAGACTGGGCCTGCTCCACTCCATCTGTCTGCTTGGAGGAATCTATTTTGTAACTCGCGTCGGGTGCAGATCATGTAACACGTGACGCAATGACGTAACGGTGGCGTAAGGACGTCACCACAAATACTCGGCGTGAAATTTAAAAACTCGATAGATGTCCTAGGAATCGATGTCTGGATTACTCGAGTAGTCAGTTAAAGCTCTAGTTCCTGGAGTTGGTGAAATATCGCGTCTTTGTTCGCAAATTACATCGCCATGGTAACTCAAAATGCCAATAAAAGTAATGGCACACATCACGGTGCCAAGCCAGTTGTTTTGATATAACTTCTGTGGGGGTAGGCATTGTAGTTCAGGCCGCATTAACAGAGATAGAAATGTTGACACACTTCCGAGGAGTAGAATAATTTCTGCTTTTAATATAAAAAGCCGAGACGTCTCCCAGCCTGACGTTTCAAGAAGGATCCCAAAGACGAAGTCAAGAAAAACCCAAATCATCAAGTTTTCCAAGAAGCAATGCTCAACAGAAACATACTGTGAACCCAGTAGATGCTGAGTGGACTTTCATGAGTTGTACACGCTTAAAAGTGTTTTCTATTTTCAAATAAAAAAACAAAAACCTAATGATCCTCGAGTCAAGACGTGTTGTTTTGTTTCACTGGCACCAGTTCCACCCAAAAAAAATCCATAAAAGTGTAGAAACTTTCCATCAAGGGAAACAAACAGACGAGTGTGATGTGAGGAGACGAGCTGCTCGCACAGGCTGACCTTAACCAAGGTCGCTGTCCCAGCTGCTGCGTGACGACACTCCAACACGCTTTCACCACCGGGGTGTCTCCATCAGGTCCCCGAGCTCAACCTGTGCCTCATTTTGACGCTTTATTCTGGTACAAATCCTGATTCGAGCTACTGAGTTGGTTTCCACAGCAACGACTATCTTACCTGTGTCCTGTCGGAACTGGTGCATGGACTGCAGGTCGATGATGTAAGGAGCGAGCTGACCATCCACCTGCCCCAGGACCACACTCCCCCGGGCGTCCCCCTTCAGTACGTTCTCAATGTGGTGGCAAACGGCTGCGCTGTACGGCCTCCAGCGCCCGTGCTCATTCAACCACTCCCAGACCACCACCCGGGCCAGGTTCTGAGGGGGGTACCCCACTCCGTTCATGGGCACCAGCAGCCCTGATCCTGGCCGAGCCATCCTCTTTGTGGTGTCTGGGCCTGAGCTGCTGGTTTTGCTGGAACACCACTGGGACTCTGTCAGTCAACTGACACACGGGGACATTGTCCCGATCGGTCCCACAAACAGAGAAGGCTTGGATCAGCGAGGTGTTCCTCAGTTATCTCGTTCTGCTCATCTTCTGCAGGAGCCAGAAGGCAGGCTCCTCTGTGCCTCTGTGTTTGAAGTTGCAGATGTTGTTGTTGACGAAGATGATGACGATGATGAGAACTGCAACTGTAGGAGTCAGTCCCAAACAGCTAACCACAGCAGATCTGCAGCAGGTAGACAGGAGACATTCATACAGATCAGAAATCAGATGACCCAAAATAAACCCTGTTCTCCGCTGCAGCCTGCTGCTTTGTGCTTTTTAGTTTTATTTTTGGGGGCCATTCTTTTTAAGTGTGCAGCAAAACGTGTATCTGAGCAGTGTGCACGGGTAAAAGCGACCACAAAGGCACCAGATTAGCTGTCTGCCTTCTCAAAAGATGCAGAAAATGCCACACATGCGCTGCTGTTTTCCACGCACTGCGAGCACGAGCCAGTTTAAAGGCTTCCTGCAGGGGCTGCATGCAGGATTCACATACAGACCTGTAGGAAGCAGCGGTGCTGCCGCACATCTGGCAGGTAGAAGCTGCATCTTTTTTTTTTTTTTTTTTTTTCCAGGCTCCGGACCAAAAGCTGAGCATCAAACGAGGCGCAAAGCAGCAAAGCAGCAGACGCGCCTGGCTTTTTATTTTATTTTATTTATTTATTTTATTTATTTGGGATCCAAACTAACCTTCATCCAGACTCCGGAGCTCCAGGTTTGAGGAAGAGATCGAGCACAGGACGTCGAGCAGCTTGTTGGTGCGTTCAGGGTGCCCCAGTTGTTCGGTGTGCACAGAAAGAGAAGCTGCTCCTCCTCTTCCTCCTCTTCCTCCCTCTCTGTCACCATCAAATAAATAAACAAATAAATAAAAGAAAGCAAACACTCACACCGCAGAGATCCGAGCCCAGCTGACCGACAATAACCCGTCCCTGCACACCTGTATGCACACACTCATCAATCTGAGCAATCTGTCAAGTGCAGTAGACTTACTACTTCCGGTATCCGGTTTCAAAATAAAACCCACACTGGCTCCGAGAAGCAAGGACGAATCTACAAGAGATGCTTCTAAACACCTTTTAGCATAATAGAGCAGAAAAAATACATTTAAACAGTGATACAGAGACACTGTTTATTAAAATGTGCAGGGAGAAGATAAAAAAATGTACAACTAATAGAGAAATGTTTAAGTTTTAGACAAGAAGGGCACATTTATTAAGAGGTATAGTTGTTTATTTTAATGTCTTTTTAACTTTAAAAAAATCAGTTGATGTAGTTGCAGAATCAGAAATGTTTATTTATCAAAGTATCAGATGATATTTGTTACTGGAAACTGGATCAGGACAACAAGCATGTAATTTTTTTAAAATTATTATTATATACAGTATATAGTTTCAACTGCTGGTTTTAAGCCTCTATATTCCATTTCCTTCCATGGCAAGACAAGGAAACAATAATTTTTCATTTTCATGGCCCTTTTTTTTTTCCTCGACCTGATCATTTTGAGCTGCTCTGTAGTTTCAGAGTGTTTAATGGATGATTGATACGAGTTGTGCTGATCCGAATGTCAGGTTCTGTTGTTTTGCAGCAAACGGTGACACATAAAGGCGATTATCCATCTGTATGAAGTGCTGGAACATCCTGTTCTCCATGTGAACATTGATATTTAAGCAACACTTTGACACTTTGACACTCAGAAGAGAAGCTGCTTTGTTGATTTTCTGGGTCTTTCCAACTGTAGTTTAGTACAAACATTGTCTTAAGGCCAGTTTTGTTTTATATGTATATTCTTATACTGTCACAAAGTTTTATATGGACTCATAAGTGATATCTGCAAAGTCAACCAGCAGGCTTTCTTTAGGCCCATCCAAACTTTTATGTATGCTCAGTTAGTTGATGGTGACGTTTGTAAAATAAATTAATTAATTAAATAAAATAAGAAAGCAATTTGTAACATTTCCCAGAAAATAAGACACTCCCCAATATTGTGACAACCCAATGTATTTTTGTAATATTATATTTATGTAAATATTATTTTACACTGAAATAAAGTGTTTTATCTGCAGTACTTTTTTTCCGATAACACAATATTTTATTGTCTGATCTGAATCGGTTTACGATCTGTTTTATTATATAAAAATGCATTTGTTTCTACTTAAATGTACTAACGAGGCTGCTTTTCTTTTAGAACGATATCTAAAATATTATTCATTGCGGCATTCTTATCCCACCTTGATGTTTTACTCGGTCAAACATTAAATCTGCAATTTTTGTTTGTTTGTTTTAAAGAAACAAAAGTGTGGTTTAAAAAAAAAAAAGTAATATAGGCATTTCAAGTCAGTGAGAAAAATATAATGCTTTTCTGTTCAGGTTTACACTAATAAATAGACGCTGATACTTTATTATAACACTCAGAGAGTATTAAGGTTGTGATATCTGTCCAGAACAAAACCATTTATTACCAGTAAAAAAATACAAATAAAGAAAAGGTCGGTTTTGTTGAGTCTTCCTGTTTGAACAGGGATTCTTGTCTCCTTCCAACTCAACCTTTAGCATCAGTTCTTTAGAGAACAGCACCATCATGTGAGCTTGAGGTGTTACTGAGCAACATTCAGAGGTTACACAGCAGACCCCTGTCACCCCAACACAGAAACACCAGTTTAAAACCAGTGTGTTTAGCTTTTATATATTATTTAACAACAAAGCTTCAGCGCTACACATGAATGATCAGAAATACACTTTTATATATATATATTTTTTTTTACAAAAAGGTAAGATCATCTTTGAATTCTTAACATTGTAAATAATAACTCCACTCAAATACTTTTGTACAGATACTGATAAATACATTTAGTGAGTTTACAATACTTGGAGCAATATAGCAATGGATACATGATCAAAGTGAGATATAAACAATCCCAAACTCCTCGGGTTTATATCACACAGAGGGAGGGAAAGCTCAGAACAGCCGAGAATTTAACTTTAGTGGTAGCCAAAGTCTGAAGAGCATCCATTTACAACTACCTGATCAGTCTAAACCAGGCACAAAACTTGATCAATCAATAATCAATAACAGGCTCCTGCAGAATATGAAGTGCTGATTTTATCATTGAAGCAAGGAAACAAGTAAAACATGCAGGCTAGTGGTGGCCCTCAAGGACCAGGACTGGGCACCCTTGTTCTTGAGCATCACGTTATCTCTATTTATTTATTTTTTTCCCCAGATTTTCCACATGAACCTCATAGTTCAACATCTAGAACTTCTGTATATTCTATAAATCAGCAGTCATAGACATGCACAGCATAAGATTTATTTAATTAGCTAAAGGTGGCAGGCAAAAACAGGTGCATTTAACCAGCTATTCAAAGATTGACACACTCTCTCCTCCCAAACAAACATGGAAATAAAGATACACTTATCGTATAAAATAACCTATTGCTGTTTGATTTTACCAGTGACTATACATGTTTCAAATGAAATTGGAATTTAATCTGTTTTTCTCTCTTTGAGACAAGATTTTTACGTTTGATTTAATGAAATTGTGTGTGTGTGTTTTTTTTTAAATATATTTCATGGTTTACTTTTTAATTGTGCAGCACTTTGGTGCAACTTCTGTGGTTTTAAATGAACAGCTTAAAAAAAGATCAATGCAGACACACAGGAGAAGATGTGTCATGGTCTGGCTGCTGGAACAACAGCACCACCTGGTGGTAGAGTTTCAAAAAACAGAACAGATTTTTTTGTTTGTTTTTTTACAATTTATATTTTATATTTATTTACAATATTAGGTCAACTCCAATGCAGTGTCACATCTTCCATGATTTTACAAGTATATCATATAAAAAAAAACGACAGCATTTTTTTTATATATGTTTCATTAAAAACAATAACAAAAAACAGCTCTTTGATTTTAAGGTCGATCAAACTCAGAGAATAAATATGTTTGTTTGTTACAAAACTATGTTGTTGCGTTGCTTTTCTCTTTGCGTGTGCACGCATTCACACACACACACACACACACACACACACACACACACACACACACAC